TGTGTGACCCAAGGGGCCTCAGAAATGGCCTCAATCTTTTAATCGGATTTCGTGAGTTGTACCATCAATCGATCCAACACAGAGGCGTGGGCGACCTTTCCGTGGCTTTAGCTGCACAGGTAGTCTCCCGGAACACTGGATCTTTGGTATTTCTTCGGACTTAGCTCCTTAAGACCTTAATATTGGTACTAAAGCACCGATTTTTCGTAATTATCGACAAATCCCACGATAAAACATTCCATTATAAACCCAAACTTACATGTAAAAATTACGGGTGTTGTACAAAATCTTAAAATAAAATCAAGATAGATGAAATAGAAATGTATTGGTGTTTCATATGAAATAACACATGTGAAGATACAGTGTTGTTCCATATATGAAATGTACATGTTTAGTATGCATGTGTAAAATTAAAATCACATGAAACAATATGAAACACACTAAAGAACAAAAATATGAAAGGATATGAAACATAAACAAAAGAACAAAAATATGAAATGATATGAAACATAACTTCAAATCAAACTCAATGATTGTTTTGGATTGATTTTCACAGGTTTATAACATTTATTGGGTTTGTATTTGATTAATTCAAATGTCATAACATAAGTGCCAGGATACATATAATTATAACAAGAACATCAAATTTAAATGACACAATCAATCAACCAACAAGTTTCGATCTTCTGACTCTGAAGTTGTCGTAACCTTGAGTTTGTTCATGTTGTTTACAGTTATAAAACAAAAAATAAATGTGAGATCGGGTGGAAGTGTGGGAATCAATGAGGAACAAGCAGTTTTGACTTTTTGAAATTACATCGATTACATTAGAATGTATATTGGAGTATTAGATTAAGTAGACTAATTGGAGTCTTGGACTACTTACTCGACTAATTGGAGTCTTGGACTCTGAATTTTAACCATAAAAAAAAAAAAAAAAAAAAATCCTGATAGTGAATCGTGTTTCTGGATCCCATGTGTGGCCTCAATTTTCGTAATTAATGTTTTGGATTGGTCGTTGCCCCTACTCCCACTGAAATGAATGTTTTCTAACCCAATCAAATGGGGTATATATTGGCAGGCTGATATATGTTTGTTTTTCAAACCCAATGGCAAAACCATCCCTATCCTTTCTTTTTCTTTTACTTTTTTTAATTACTTAATTAAACTAATTATTTTATATCAAACAAAATATTACATGAATTAAAAAATGTCAATTTATTTTTTAGTTGAATTAATTATTCTTGTTTATAAAATATTCTATGTATGTATAGATATTATTTAATTTTAAATAAAATATAAATACAATATAGTTAATCAATTTAAACATTGAATTTTGAAATTAATGTTTATATTTTAATTAACATTGAATTAGAATAAAGATTTTATATCATGTATTTATTAACTAAAAGTAATTAGAATGTATATAATAATTTATAAATGTTACAGTGGGGATCACTTTTGAAAGTATAGGTGAATTGCAAATGTATAGATGGTAATTGTAAAATTGATGTTACACAACTGAAAACATAATAGACTTGCGGGGATGTAGATGGTCTATTAATTAAAGGCAAAAATCTAAAAAAACCCTTGCAAACTATAGTGATTAAGTCCTTAAATTATTTTTTTGAATAAATAAATATTAAAACTCTTTGAATTCGAACAAATAAATTCTTAAGTTTACTAAAACTATAAAAAAAACCCGAATGAATTTTCATATTTTGAATGATTAGGTCCCTCAACATATTTTTGAATGATAAAAAATCCTCAAACTTATAAAACAAAAACAATAAATCATTTCTCAATTGACTATATACCATTTTCATTATTCAATATTTATTTTTTAGATTCAAATGTAGAAACATATGATCATAGGTCCCTCGACATATTTTTGAATGATAAAAAATCCTCAAACTTATAAAACAAAAGCAATAAATCATTTCTCAATCGACTACATACCATTTTCATTATTCAATATTTATTTTTTAGATTCAAATGAAGAAACATATGATCATATCAAAACACCTGCAATTGTCATTTAAATTTAAAAAACAAACATTGGTTAATAAAAATGATGTATTTTGTTTTCATTTTAGTGTTTGTTGTATTTTTCTACTTATTTGTTGATATGTAGAAAAGAATGGTAAATTTCTTTTATTTATAAGTGTAAGAATTTATTCATTCAAAAAATAATTTAAGGACCTAATCCCTCAAAATATGAAAATTCATTAAGTTTTCCTCTGTTTTAGTAACTTAAAATTTTGTTTGTTCGATTTCGAAAGATTAAAAACTTATTTGTTCAAAAAAATAATTTAAGGATATAATCACTCGAAAGATTGAGGATTTAAATTACTTGTATTGCAAGTAAAATTACAATCTAATTATTAGTTAGTATTTTCAAATCAAAATTAGGGATTTTCTTCTATATATGACAATTAACAACACGCAGAACAATAGATAGGGGGTCTTTGATGTTTTTAAAATTATTGTCGAGCATAGTTTTGATGGAAAGTCTGAATTATTCGATAAATGTTTGAAAAATCAGATTTAATACCAAAATTATAAATATTTTGGTAATCATTTTCATGCTAATAGCCCATTAATTAAAAGAGCTTCTTATATTAATGCTAATAGTCCCCAAATTAAAACATGATCAGCCTCAAAGCCTCTTCTTTCTCACCTTAATTTACTCTTTATTATCTAATCCATAGACTTATCTACCACCCATAATCAGCATATATATTTAGGAAGACGAAGATGACCCATTAGCGCCGTTCGCATTACCACCGTCGTCGCGGTGTTTCTGGTGGTTGTTCTCTCTGATACTAATGTTTTTGTGGTTGTGCATCCACACCTTAAAAACGCCTTTATCAACCCCAATTTCGTTGCAAAATCCTGCAATCGTCTCATCCTCTTTCTTCGGCATCTTCCATCCGATTCTTTCTGCAAATTCTTGCATCTTTGCCTTTTGATCTTGGGAGAACTTTGATCTGAATCGTTTTTTTCTGGTGCCGTTTGATCCTGTGGTGAGGATCGACTGGCCGTTTCTATCTGCCGGTTCAGGAGCAGGAAAGCCAGCTGGGTTGAAGGCAAAGAACATGTGGGGTGGTGCTGGGTAGTAATTGTAGGATGATGAAATTGGGGACGGGGTTGGGGAATTTGGAATGCTGCTGCTATTTGCCATAGCAACAAGGCGGGTCGGTGTTGGTGTTGTTGGGAGGTGATGGTGCTGTTGGGGTTGGTTCGGGTTCTCGATGACATCAACACGTTCAGCGGGTGATTGCAATTGGTCGACTTCACGGTAATGGAAGTTGCGGTGGCAGCCACAGACATCGCATTTTAGGGTGGTGAGATCAGTTGGAGTGGAGGTGGGTGCTAGCATAAACTCCCCGCAACCATCGAGAGCATAGCCACCTGCGCCGGCTGCGTGGTTCTTGAGACATCTTCCCAAAGCGAGAGTCACCTGTGGCGGGTTATGGCTTGGTGGGAGCTGTTGTCCCATCCTATTTGGTTGGCCCGGAGTTGGTGTCTCCATTTCGGAATACGGGATATGACGAGAGTAATGAACTGGTGGTGGTGTCCTTAAATAGATTTGGATTTGGGTTGGGGTTGGGGTTGGGGTTGGGGGGTAGGGTTTCCTACCTTCCAGGTAGATACTCAGGAGTAAATGAGGTTTATCTAAACACAAGAAAACAAAAATGATGATGAAATTTTATTTTGTATTTAATTTAGTCAAGCAAAGATTCGTAACCGAAAATATAACAATTTATGTTTGATAAATTAATTAATAAATTTGTTGTTGGCTGATAAATTAGTTGTTGAATAATATTTTTTAATATATTCTCATATTAGTCATGACTAAATCATTTTAATGGAGCCATTTTGAGTCGGGTTTGATAGTGTTCAAAACTTATTTTTATACAACCTTATAGAAATTGGTAACAGAAAGTAATAATAAAATTATTTAAAATGGATGTTATATATATATATATATATATAACATTTTACCTGTTTTAAAAAATTATTTATATTTATATTTTAATTTGTTTTAAAATAAATGTTATTTTTATTGTTTCTGAAAATTATTAATTTAGTATTTTAAATAAATAATAACTCTATGTATTTTAAAATTGTATAACCTATTAGTTCTTATGGATATCTATTTTCTAAAAGAAAGAGTATTTATAAAAATATNCGTGTAACTAACTGCGGATAAACATAATCAAATATAGAATAAAAACCTCATTTTAAAATATAAAAACTCGAAAATATAATTAGGATAATTATCAAGTTCTAACAAAATAATTAACTATTATCTTTATAAGAAAATTATATTACTAAACCAAATATAAATTACTTCGTTATTGAACTTAAATTAAATTATAATTAAAAAATTACACAAAAAATGAGAAATTTTAAATAGTTAATTTGATACCAATATCGATATAATTTTGTCAAATTTTTATGATATCTTCAAATTTATATTTTATTTAAAAATAAAAACAACATCATTTTTTTTCAAAATCACATAAGACCATATTATAACATCGATTCAAATAAAAAATAAAATAAAATATTAAAATCAAAATGTATCTCGCTGCATTACGCGAGTATCTTTCTAGTTATATGTAATGGTTATTTAAAATTATAAATTAATTTAGATTTTTTTTCTAAAATTTGTTCTAACAAATCCATTATTTATTAACATATGTAATAATTTTAACCAACATATTATATTATATTATTTTAATTTTTCTTGTTTGATATACATTTTTATTATTAAATATTTGTTTCAATTGTATTATTAAATATTGTAATCGATTAATTTTTTAAAATATATTTTTTAGTCATTTTGCATGTTTATAACCTACTTTTTACCAAACATAATTTGTTAATCAGCTAGCTTATCAGCTAATTTGCCAAACATGGCCTATAAAAAAGTAACATTTGTTTAACATGTGTAGTATTTTAAAGTATTATTTTATTAGTAAATAAAAACTTACAACCTCTAAAAATTAAGATATAGATCATAATTCTAGTATCTGTCATATTTTAATATTCAGAATTTTAAAAAATCTATACTCCATCATAATTTGGTAATCAAATTTTAAAAAATAAAATAACATTAATGTAAAGAAATTATAAAAAAAAAAGAAACTAATAAATTTAATAATGAATATCTTTAAAATTCAAAAAATATCATTCATGTATATCTAAATTAAATGCACTTTTTATCATAAATAAATAATAACTCTATGTATTTTAAAATTGTATAACCTATTAGTTCTTATGGATATCTATTTTCTAAAAGAAAGAGTATTTATAAAAATATATTTATATTTCAGCTATTAAATACTATATGAAATCAATATTCAACTTTTTTTTCAATAAAATGGTCAAACGCCATGATTTCTTGGGCATTAATTTGCTAATATGCAATTTAATTTTCTTTTTCTTTGGTCGTATGAGTCTTGAATTAATCGGCTTGAAATATGATGCAATTTTTATGTTATTTTTATTACGTATTTTTACAATACAATAAAATGTAAATTGTTGTTGTAAACTGAAATTGGAAAATTGATAAAAATTTCTTAACAAAAGATTTATAAATTTAAGAAATTATTTTGTTGTTTTTCTAAGTGTATTATTTAGATTGTTGATAGTTTTTTTATTAATATATTTGACAAACTAACTGATAAGCTAACTAATAGTTGATAAGTTAGCTATTGAACTAAATACGTTTGACAAAAACTAGCTAATAAGCTAGTTAAAAATGTAAAATGACTAAAAAGAATATATATTTAAAATTTAATAAATTTTAACATTTCATA